CAGAATCAAGATCTGTCCAGATGCACGATCGCTTAAGCGATTTACGGTCTCGCTTAAGCGATTCTTCGCTTTTACCCTTGGTCGCTTATCGCTTAAGCGATCAAGTCCGAGGTAGAATCAAGATCTACCCAGATGCACGATCGCTAAAGCGATTTACAGTCTCGCTTAAGCGATTCTTCGCATTCACCCTTTGTCGCTTAAGCGATACCAAATCGCTTAAGCGATCAAGTCTGAGGCAGAATCAAGATTTGCCCAGATGCATGATCGCTTAAGCGATTTATGGTCTTGCTTAAGAGATTCTTCGCTTTTACCCTTGGTCGCTTAAGCGATCAAGTCTGAGGCAGAATCAAGATTTGCCTAAATGCACGATCGCTTAAGTGATTTATGGTCTCGCTTAAGCGATTCTTTGCTTTTACCCTTGGTCGTTTAAGCAATCAAATCCATGACAACATAAACATCTATCCAGATGCACGATCACTTAAACGATTTATCGTCTTGCTTAAGTGATCCTTTATAGAAAACCCTTTGTCGCTTAAGCAATATATGTAGTCGTTTACATATCGCTTAAACGATCATGGGCAATACATATTTTTTCTAGCTTTTCTCCTAAATTTTGATAAACTAAAATCACCAACACATATTAATTCCATATTTTCTCCTGAATTTGACAACCTAATTGCATCAACACATCAATGTCATGTAACAAGAATACTAAATAAACTCAAACTCAAAAGAGTGAGAGAAATACTGAATTGCTTTTGTATTAATCTGAAATGTGTCAATTACATTCAATTACAACATTATATACAACAAATAAATCTCCTGTATACACCGAAAACAAAAGCAGGGTTGGCGGCCTCCATCCCCCCTCTTCATCATTCTCTTCAGCCACTTCCCCATCCTCCAAAATTATCTGGCACACCTTCAGCATTAGCATCGGCAGTAGCACCACAACCCAAGTATCAACAGCCTGACGCCTAACAACAGCAACTGATCTAATTCAAGACAATCTAATTATTCAAGACAACCCAATAAGACAGCATCACATAAACTACAAAATTCTAAGTCCGATGACAACATCAACAATGACTTGGATTGAGTTCTGGTCAGTCAAAAGGGATCCATATGCCCATGGAAACACTCAACAGCCCAACGCTCCTGACAATTGCTCATTTTTTTGTCATTCAAGCCGTCCATCGGGGTGTTGGTCATGTCAACTCAATAAATTTCAGTGCATATGCCCCGTAATCAGCACTACAATAGGAGGAAGACATTAGCATTAGAATCAGCTTATAGAACAATTATATTATGTAAGTTTTATACAAAATTTACCTTGAGTCATTTGTTGGGACGGGAAGGCGCTTGAGTGGCCACTTTCCCGTCAGTACTTCATCACCGAAGTGCTGAAACATCCTACTGCCGCACAACAGCCACGGGAACAATACGCACAATAGCTCCAACTCCATCTTCAATAGCCTCTCTCAAAAAATACCTAGGTTGCAGACAAGGATCTGTAGCAAGCCCTCCTCTAGAAGCGCGACGACGGTTATCTAGTGCATATCCTTGATGTTGATGATGCAATATACTCTTTTAATCTTTGCCCAACTGTGGTCATGTTTGGGCCTTTCCCCCCGTACATACTACATCATCCTATCATCAAATTAAAAATCATCAAAGACACCGTCGAAGTCATATGTGGCCAATCTTTTTCGATTGCCTGCTCTTGTTGCACCTCTACCAATGGCTTTTTTCATTAAAGTGTCATATGTCGGTACTAGCGTTTGGTCAAAGGCCACATCAGTGATGGCACAATTGGGATACAATATATCACCATTATTACTCTGTTGTAGCCTCATGGGTGCCAATACCTTATCGATGTGCTGTATCAAATAAAAACAACATGATAAGTATACAATACCTCATGGAAAACATAAGGAAAAATAACTCACCGAGTCATCAAACCACCTGCCCATCATCAACATTTTTTCAAACCACTCCCGGGGATAATTCCCGGTCTTGCACTTCACATGGACATCACTTCCAGATTCATTGTAATAGGTATAAAAGAGTTTTTTCTTTTCCTCCTCTATTGGCCTATACAAATCGACCTTTAACTCCTATGTTTTCACTTGCCCACTTCCTCCCGCTTCCTCCATTTGCACATCCCCACTTCCTTCGCGTCCCGCCTCACCCTCCTCCATTTTCACTTCCCCACTTCCTCCGCCTTTTTCTTTACCCTCCTCTTCCATTTTTGCTTCTTAACTTTCACGAACTACCTCATTTTTTGTCTTCATTTTCCTCTTCTTTCCATACCTTACTGTCGTGTAAGGAGAAATTACATGCTTACTCTTTCGGCTCTCTCTTTTATGCTCAGGTTACACTTCAACCACTTTCAATACCCCACCAACTTCCTCCTCCACCCTACCAACTTTCTCCTCCACCCTTTTCATCCGTTCTTCCATCTTCTCAAACCTCTCATAAACGGCTATTGTAAAACTCTCAAACATACTGTTTATGAGGTCAACCACCTCATTCTCCCGACCCTGCACCTCAGCAAAGCGATACCTGTTGTACCGATTTGCCAATTGGGTAGAGGCGTATGAACCTCTTCATCCTCCTCCTCTTCCCTCCCACCGATTGGAGCTTCATCATCCTCGGCGTCAACAACATTTTCAAGTAGTGGCCTTGCAACTGCACTCACATACGTGACCCCTTCTAGGTCCCACATTAGGCGTTCTATCCTTTCATCTGCTTCATCCTCTAGTGCTTTGAACGATGTAACATACTCCTCTCCCGCTTCACCCCTAGTAGCAGTGAGGAAGGGACAGACGACTCCCTGCAATAAGAAAAAAAATCAATCAAATTTAAGCCACATTTAAAAACAAGTGCATATTCAAAAGATTAATCCTTTAATCTTACCCGAGCCGCTTGAATTTCTGTGTCTATTTTATCGTAATCCCAATGGGTACACTCTGCAACATCCTAGGAAATTGCAGTCGCTCATCCGAAGTCTTCATCCTCTCCCCCTGCCTTAGCCAGGGCAAGGATGGCCTCATACATCCAAGCCTACATTGTAAAAAAACAATCCATATCATAATTAAAACACATATAATACAAAAAATATAACAAAAAACTATTAATATTTACCTGCATTGCCCATGGGAAGCCAAACAAATTGTACATGCTCAGTCTATTCTTCTTGACAGATTGGCGTTGCTTTAACGCCATGTCTTTTCTTTGCAGAGAGTTCATGGTTAGCTGAAATGATACCCGTCCCCATGGATAAGCATTAAAGAAGTCCATGTTGCTTGCAAACTTCACCCAATTCGTAATAATGGCTTTTGTTGAGTCAAAAGCCATTAGGATCGAATGCACAAACCATACCAAGTACATCTTGAACCTTTCTGAAGAGGTATACCCACCTTCTTTTAACCTCTCCTCTAAATCGCGTCCCGTAATAGACGCCTTCCCCCCCAAAACCTTTTTAGCCAAGTTATCGACTGCTCTACTGTTCTTTATTCTCTCTTGCTCTGCCACTTCTGGAAATTTCCCACATCTTAAGCCTATCATCAGGGCATATTCTATCATCCCAAAACTTAGTGGCTTTCCATCCACCACGAACCACATTTCATTTTTTTTTTTGGCTTTTAACTAAGTGCAGCAATATATAATGCACTCCCTGCCCTTAGAACGCATTTTTTCCAATTTTCTCTGATGTTCACAAACTGACCAAAACAACTCTCTTTGAATTTGGTCTAAACCTTTTTTCTGTTCCCGTAAAATATCAATTATTCTCGTAAAAACTTGCCAACTCGACCTAACTGTCACCCTTATGGGGAAGTACGGTACCTTATCGCTTACAACCTCCAACCCATAGTCTTTATAATTTATGCTTCGGAAAATCTGCATAATTGATATAAACTAAATATCAGCAAAAAAAAAAAAAAAAAAACCAAAACAACTAATAGGCTGCCAATTTAGGGATATGGGCTTCGAGGGCATCAAGGAGTGGGTGTTTTTGGCCTCGAGAGGATCGGGGAAGCAAATGCAAGCCCTACAGAGGCTATTATGGTAGGTTCCATGAGGTTGGAGGGCTGAGGGCGCTACGTGCGTTGTACGTGGCCAACCTTGCCAATATGCAGGGCAGCCCTCCAGCCCCCCTATTCCGCCACCTCCTGCCATCCCCAGCCCACCAACCTCCCACGAACAACCTCCCTACGGCCTCCTTTGCCTTCCCCCATCCTTTGGAACCCAAACAAAACCACTCCTCTAATGCCCGCCAACTACTCGACAAAACGCCACAACCACCATAACAATAAAACCAACTACCTCTCCCCCAAATTCGCACAAATCAATCAAATTTCTCATCCAATTCAAAAAAAACAAGTAACAAGCATACCCTACCAGCATCCTCCTCCTCACCTGAATTCTCATCGGCGTCCTCTTCAGAACCGTTTTCTAATTCTTCTCTATATTCTTGTGTCACCGTCGTCTCCTCTGCCTCTAAACCACCTTCACTCATCGGATGATCTACCGGAGCGTCTTCTTCGACAACCTTTGAACTGTTGCCACCGCCGGAGTCTAAGATTTGGAGTGGGGTTGGGTTTTCATCCTCTTTTTGAATATCAGTCATGATTTTGTGTAAGAAAGCTTTAGGATCGAATATTTGCCGAAATAAGGCACTTTCGTCGCCGGAAATGGCAGAGAAATCAAAGGTGTTCGTAGATAATTTTTTGGGTATTTGGCTCGATTAAGCGATTTTGAAGGATGAGTGGTCGTTTTTAATTTTCAAAATTTAAACAAACTTTCGTTAATTATAATATTATCTACATATGTTTAAATCTTTTCACTTCAACCCATTTTACATGTTTAATAAATCCTAAATGTGTCACGTCAGTTTCTCTAAATTAAAAAGAATTGAAAAATATTTTCAAAATCATTTTTTTAAATGCAAACTTGGGAGGTCCGGGGAGTTAAATTTCCTCCTCTATTACTTAACACGACCATCGTCATCTTCTTTGACACTTGCCACGCTTTCAAGGTTCGTATCTCAACTTTCTGATACAGACAATGTCTGGGATTACTATTTCTGTTTTATTTCACTCAGTTTTTTTCTTTTTCTTTTTTTTTTTTTCTTTTTTTTGCATTTCATTTTTATTCATGTAACTGTTTTTGCATCAGGAAATTTTGTGGGTTGTATTTATTTGTTTGATTTAATGAGTTTTTTAGGGTAGAATTGCGCATGCTCATAATGCTCTGTTTGCGCTTCTCTTTTTCTGTAACTTGTAAATTTACTCTTCTCAAGTGATGTAGTTTTATATCTAGTTTATAATCCTTCATTTGGCTGTAATATTGGAGAAATGAAAAATCTTGGGATCTTCTTTTTCATTTTTTTATTATTAGTTGAGAATTAGAGATTTATGTAGAGGACTTGGTTATGTGGATTTTGCGTACTCTTTCTCGGCAGAGATTATGCTTGAATGTTTAGCTTGAGACAAAAGACAAGGCTTTAATCAGTACATTGAGAATAAGGTTTAGTTCTTAAACAAAGTTTGTGATCTTTAATTTTTTTCCATGGGCCTTTTAGGTTTTGTAAAGCTTTGAATTTCACAATTTGAGGGGCAATTTGTCCGTATAGGATCTGTCCCCTGTTGATTAACTTAAGTAATATTTTTTTTTTTTTTTTTTTTAAGGAACTCTTTTAGCGAATTAAGTACACGCTTCTTCAAAGGTTATGCTTAAAATATAAGACTTGTTTTAGTTTTCTCAAAAAATGAAAGAAGGGAGAGTTTCTAGTCATTGTCATCTACCCTTTTTGCTTTCTTTGTAGTATACCAATTCTAACCATGTTGTGATTTCAGTCAGTGACCATATATCTGTGCTCTGTATTGACATCTTGTTTAAGAATACTCATATTTACTTAGTGGATCTAAATGGTACAGAATGGGAAGTACAGGTAGAACATCGTATGGAGAATACACCTATGAGAACCTTGAGAGGGAACCCTACTGGCCTGCGGAGAAGCTGAGGATTTCTATTACTGGGGCTGGAGGATTTATTGCCTCTCACATTGCCAGGCGATTGAAGAGCGAGGGACATTATATTATTGCTTCTGACTGGAAGAAGAATGAGCATATGACAGAAGATATGCTCTGTCATGAGTTCCATCTCGTTGACCTGAGGGTAATGGATAACTGTCTCAAGGTGACAACTGGAGTTGATCATGTGTTCAACCTTGCTGCAGATATGGGAGGCATGGGCTTCATTCAGTCCAATCACTCCGTCATTATGTATAACAACACCATGATCAGTTTCAACATGCTTGAGGCTGCAAGGATCAACGGAGTTAAGAGGTTTGTTGCCTGAACCCACCAGAAACCATTTATTTATCCCTTGAAATTTAAAATTTCAGATGTTATTGATAAAATAATCTTAGCTACCCAGGTTGAATGTGTATTTTAAAGCATTTTTTATGAACTTGAACCATGGTGTAAGTGAGTATGATCGGTATTAATTTTGCTAGGTGATTTGTGAATCTAGGCGCTGACATAATTTTGTTGTAATTTTTTTATTGCATGTTTCAATTTTTGAGGTATTTGTGTATTTTTCTTGGTCTATTTTTCTTCTCCAATTTCTTTTGTTAAACATGTCTATGAAACTCATGCATGTTCTATCTTTTATGAATTCCCTTGGTTACTGATATCAGTTATATGGCACAGTGTGTTGGGTAGCCATATGTAAATATTGACATATACATTTATTTTCAGGTTTTTTTATGCCTCAAGTGCTTGCATTTACCCTGAATTTAAACAGCTAGATACTAATGTGAGCTTGAGGGAGTCTGATACTTGGCCTGCAGAGGTTTTTCACTCTGAACTAATAAAAACCATTTCATGCAGAAAATTAATTTAAATCTTTTTGTTTTTCTTTCCACATTGATAATTGGTTTTCTCTGCAATTTAGCCGCAAGATGCTTATGGCTTGGAAAAGCTAGCAACAGAAGAGTTATGCAAGCATTACACCAAGGACTTTGAGATTGAGTGTAGGATTGGAAGATTCCATAAAATATATGGACCTTTTGGAACATGGAAAGGCAAGATTCCATTCATCGTTTCTTTATATTCATCCATATATGTATTTACGCTTCTGGATTACATAATTTTCCATTTCTACAGGTGGGAGGGAGAAGGCTCCTGCTGCTTTTTGTAGGAAGGCCATAACTTCTACTGATAAGTTTGAGATGTGGGGGGATGAGAAGCAAACTCGTTCTTTCACATTTATTGATGAATGTGTAGAGGGTGTTCTTAGGTACTATACTCTCGACTTGGACAGTTGTTTTGCTAAGTTCGTTCCTAAATGAAAGTTTGTGGGACTAAAAGTTTATCATGGTTTGAGATGAGATTTAGACTATTAATGTGTGACTATATACTTCTTGCAACTAAAATAAGAATCATCAAAAGAAAATCTGTGGAAATGTTTCATTAGTACTGCAGCACAATTCGTGCAGCATTCCCAACACAATTCAACCAACCTACTCTAACTCCCTGCAGGTCGAAGTCCAACCATCTGTCATTTTAAATAATACTTAGCTATTTGTATAAAGGAATTTGTTATCATTTCTTAGCCAAGCTATAAAAATTAGGTTAAGTATCTTATATGTTCTACCATTAACTTTATAGAACTTCTATGTGTACTTTTAAGTCATTAGTGAAAATTGTAAATTTAAGTTACGATAGAGGGGGTATACTATATACACTGACTGGATTTCAATTCATGTGTTTAGATTGACAAAGTCGGACTTCCATGAGCCAGTGAATATTGGAAGTGATGAGATGGTTAGCATGAATGAGATGGCTGAGATTGTCCTCAGCTTTGAGAACAAGAAGCTCCCCATTCATCACATTCCTAGTCCAGAAGGTGTTCGTGGTCGAAACTCAGATAACACCTTAATAAAGGAGAAGCTTGGTTGGGCCCCTAGTATGAAACTGAAGGTACAATAAATAGTTGAGCTTTATATACAAGTTGATTTATTCATGATAGCTGACTCAGTTTATGCATATCTTCACAGGATGGGCTGAGGTTCACATACTTCTGGATCGAGGAACAGATTGAAAAAGAGAAAGCTCAAGGCATTGATTTGTCAATTTATGGGTCATCAAAAGTTGTGGGAACTCAAGCACCTGTCCAGCTGGGTTCTCTTCGTGCTGCTGATGGCAAAGAATGAAGCTCAGATTTAATTTATTACATTCGGAAGCCAAGTTTATGATCAGTGCATATTTATGTAGTGGCATCTGGATATGGTATCAGATAATTCAATTATTGCAACTGGTAGAAGAATTTGTAAAATTTTCAGTATATTTTTTTTTTTTCTAGCTTCTATAAGAGAGGCCCAAATTGTGATGATATGTTATCTCTGTAAAAGGGTAAAACTATTTGTACAAACTCTCGTAAAAAAAAAGAGTTTTACGAGAGTTTGTATAAATTGACGTGGCACACCATGTAAGTGTCACGTGACATGAGGGTTCACATGATATTGATGTGACATTAAATTATGTGGCCCCCAATACAATGTGATCCTCCAATGCCACGTGGCATGCTATGTGACGTGTCACATTAGTTTATACAAATTCCCGAGTTTGTACAAATAGTTTTACTCCTCTGTAAAAATATACCCTGCCCCCTCCTTTAGTTACACTTGTGCGTTGCTATTATGTACACTTTCCGTGGTTCTAGTTTCTTTGGATAAACCTGGCTACATATCATCTATGAAGAAGCATCTTAATGGATATGTATTGATGGTAATAAACAGCTTTCTTGTTTCTTGTTTGGACATTTGGTTTGAGGTGAGTAATGAAAGTTTGGTTGCAGATATGGGAGAAAGCATTTCAGTTTATTCTTCTCATGTGGTCCAAAGAGAGATGGTTACTTCGAAATGCCCATCACAATGGATAAGGATACTATTTTGAAAAGGTCATTTCCGGTGAAGAGTTTACTCTTACCTCTATGCTAATACAATGACAACTCTTTATTGGCTTAATGTTTGTCTGCCCTTTCCATCTCTACATTTTAAATTTTTAATGTTTTAAGTTTCTTGAAAAAGTGAACTTTTTGGAACACAGCTATCAAGAAGATAGTCGGTATGAATTGTGATTTGAAGTTTTGTTTGAAACTCCTCCACCTTCAGGATGGTTGGACTCTTCTTGGTTCAGGTTCAGGGTCGGTGGCCTACGAAAAAGCACGCCTCAAATGATTGGCTCGTCTGATTTATAAAGGCCTGACAAACCCACATGGTGATGAACTTGGAGGAAGTGAAAGCCACCCACTATCAAACAAAACTCCTGCAGCTGCCTGTCTGCTAGGAAATACCATGGACATGGATTGGAGAACCTAACCTCATTCTAATTTAAATCTTCTGCATTCTGCTGGAGAATATTAGTACAACCTTACAGGTTTTGGATAAAACACCCTGTCCCTGTGTTTCTTTCTGTAACTTAATTCACATTTTTCAACTCATAATATTTCCAGGAAAAACCCTCATCTCTCATCCATTAACAATTAGTGTATAATTATGAATATCATGACACAGTCAATATCAGTTTTTAATCTTTTATTCTTCTGAGAATATATCCTCCAGTATTAGTGTCAATCAATATCATAATTATTTAAAAAAAGGAAGCCTGCTGATTCACAATTATCTTGACATTTAGTTTTTATAATAGTCAACAACAATTATAACCTAATCAATCATTCACTACAACAAATTTTTTTTTTCTTTTGGGGGGGAGTGGTTGTCAAAAGATTCGTAATATCTGGAAAACTGAGATTTATATACTAATTCTATCTAATTTAGATTCCGGAGAAACCAATAATAACCAACACCTGTTTGTTTATCCTTGGTGGTTTGCTGCAAGTCAAGTAATGAATAAATTTTTTTTTTTTTGTTTCAGTCTCAGTGCAAGTCTTCTTCTTCTTTTGATTCCATGAGTGGTAGCTCAAATGTTCCTGGTTTCAAAGTCTAAACTAAATCCTCAACGCGAGGATCATTGATTTAGTAGTTTCTAGGAACAACTAGTTAAGGTCAAACATGACCTTATCATTATCTAATAATAAGATTTAATTCCATTATCTGTAGGACCAAGAGATTTTCATTCTTTCTTTAAGGGAGGATTACATTTTGTGGACTAATTACAGAGAAACTGATAATGGGGTTAAATGGAGGATTAAATAAAGAATTAAATCTTTGAATGAGTAAAGCTTATCAGCTTAATGTATACCTTTACACCATTACTGCATGGGGACTAGTTCATAATGGTAGCTGAGGTGGAAATGTTATAGCTTAATCTTTGGCATATTCCATCTGGGTTCAAGATATTCTTCAGAAATTATTTAAAGTTATCCAAATTACATATTGATTGAAGTGACAGAGACACTTGTAAAATCCACAGGAAATCAAAACGCACAAACTTTTTTTCCTGAAGAAAATGTAAAACAAGCACTAGAAAATTCTGAAGATTAGCTGTACGATAGTGATTAAAAAAGCAGAGAGTTATCAGAAAATTTCATAAATGGTGACAGTCTTAGCCATGCCCCTCTCAGAAATCCCAATATAGTAAATGCAATATCCCTTATTAATCTCAGTCAGTGCACAGATGAATAATGATTTTAATTTTCTGATTCTGAGTGAATATTTTCTAAGCTGTCACCATATCAAAACATTAATAAGGGGTTTTTATCCATTTTCTTCATACTCTTGTATTCAAGTTTTTACTGAGTCAATTTAATGTTTAGTTTTTTAAAATCAATTTTGTTGAAAGGGTCTTTGAGTTCTTGATCTTATGTTTGTCCTATTGAATGCAAACATTCAATGGGCGTATATATAATCCTGGACAGCTAGCTTTTCTGCAAATCTGTTTTAATCTATTAGATTATATTCTAATTAACATTCCTTTTGTTTAATCTAATTTAATATTTGTGTTCGTGTCAAGTAGTAATCCTTTCTTGAAGATAATCAATTTGTGATTTAATTAATTGTTTTAAACTAGTAGTTTATTTTCCCACCTGAAATTGCTTTAATCCTTGAATTGCTTTAATCATCTTAACTAATCTTCGAGGTTCATTAAACACTTTACAAACCAAAAGACCAAGTAAACTACAATATTATTGTGATGGGTAGCCTTAAGGTTTGAGGCCAAGAACTCAAGGAATGAAGCAAACTTCTTTGATCGTTAAGTCAATACCTTAGGGTTATGTAACCTAATTTTGATAGACAAGGATGGGGAATTTGAGTTAATTTTTAATGCAAATTTAGAAATTGAGCATTTGTTCCCTTAACAATGGGCATGGGTAAATGTAATTTGAATATGTTGTGAATTCTTGAAAAAGGAAAAGGAAAAGAAAAAGAAAAGGTGGGAAGGAAAAGAAAAATGGCAGAATAGAAGAGGCAAAGGTGTCTAGAACTTTTCCCCGGACGTAGACCTCCTCTGTTCAAAAAAATTGATTAGAAGGAAGGTATCTGTTTATTAATTTCCAAAAATAAATAAGTTCGGTACGGTAAAAAGGTAAAAAAAAGATTTCATATACTTTTGAGTTTAAGTTTCTTCGAGCACTATTAAAGGTAATTATTAAAATTCTTATTCGATTAACAGTTTTAACCTTCGGGATCTCAGGATAATCACTGGGCTCTTATCCAATGAACAGTTTTAGCCTTCAAGACTGCTGATCCAAATAAAAAAAAAATTGAAAGTGATAACGTGTGATATAGGCAAACCGAGTAAATCAAATTTATAACTCACAAGCAATCTCACTTTCTCTGTACAGAAGCAAGTAGGTAGGAGGTTGCTTTCACAAAGGTTAATATTCAAACTTGGGGAAATTTTTGCTTTTATTATCTTGCTTTGTGAGAAGACCCCACCCGCCCTCCCTTAAATTTAAATAAAATCAATGACCCTACATCCTTAATTATATATGCATAAATACATATATGCCCCACAACAATGATTGTGAGATAAATATATATATATATTTTTTTTTCGAAATTACTATTGTAGATAAACCACAATTGAGAAAGTTGGTCTGTGCCCAAAAATCCCAGCATGTTGCTCTTTATTATTTGTACAAAGGGCGAACGACTTGTACATACCCAAAGTTTACTGTAATAACAAGTTAGTACCTAAAAGGTTTTGAAACGACAAATAGGTACCTTCCGTCATATTCTGTTAGTGATTTTTGTTTATTAATAGTGAAAAGACTAAAATACCCTTCAAAGTTTCAATTTTTGTTTTTTATAAATTTAAAAATTTCTAAAAGCCCCCCTAGGTTTGCTAATTTAATTAAACACCCCCATATATAAAATGTTTGTTAAATGACAAAAACACCCCCACCACCCCCAATGCCAGATTCCTGCCACCATCGCCGGAATCTGGCCGGAAAACTGTATTACAACACAGATCCGTCGGATCTGTGTCGTAACGTGCCGATCTTTCCTTTTCCGGTCAGATCCGCCACGGATCTTGCCGGAAAAGGCAAGATCTGGCCGTCGAAGCAGCAGCCAGATCTGGCCTTTTCGGCCGAGACGTGGCTGATCTTGGCCGGAAAAGGCCAGATCTACTGCCAGATCTGGCCTTCGACGCCGCAGATGGAGTTTTGCGGCGTCGACGGCCAGATCAGCCACGGATCTGGCCGAAAGGCCAGATCGACGCGTTACGACACAGATCCGACGGGTCTGTGTCGTAACGCAACTTTCCGGCCAGATTCCGGCGGTGGTGGCCGGAATCTGGCACTTGCCGATGGGGGGTGTTTTTGTTATTTTATAAAACTTTTATTATTGGGGTATTTAGTGAAATTTGAAACTAGGGGGTTTTTGAAATTTTAAATTTATAAAAAAACTAAAATTCAAACTTTTAAGGGCATTTTAGCTTTTTCCATTAATAAACAGAAATCACTAACAGAACATGACGGAAAGACCTATTTGTCATTTCAAACCTTTGGGTACCAACTTATTGTTACGATAAATCTTGGGTATGTATAAGTCGTCTCCCTTTGTACAAACCTATTCTTCCTATAACCCTAGAATTTGTGTTTCAGGATGAATTAGTATTGTACTACTACACAACTGCACAATGTTGAACTCAATTTTTCAAACGCAAACTGTACTTATAATTCAATCTCACAAACTTTTTCTTACAATTTTAACGTGATAGTTTATAATTAATCAATTAAATAAGTTTCACCTGTTTGATATGGGTGTCTATCCAATTGGAACTGACAATTATGAATTACGATATCGAAGTTGTAAATTGTGAATGAAATTTATAAGAGAATTGTGGTATCAATCTTATATTTTTTTTAATGATTATATTTATGACACGTGGACAATGTATTCAACAGTCAAAACCTCAAAGATCTCTGGAGGCCGTGCAGAATATGAGCCATGGCCGTGCACGAGACCGGTTGAAATAAAAGAGGCAGATTGTTAATTTTATTTATAACCCCGAAAAGGCTCAAAACTTAAAAGAGAATATCACGCAATTGAAGTGATATTTTTTAAAGCTCCCATAAAAATACCCGGCTATCGAGACTCCACGAGGCCCATCTCTCTGCCGTCGTTAAAAAAACAAAAAATATTAAAATTATTTAGCATATAAAGATGAGAAATTAATAAAGAAAAGTTACATGCTACTTGTTACCCCTCAAGACACAACACCCACCAAAAAATGTACTACGTTTATTTCCATAGATACACTCAAAATTTGTATCAATCCAAGTTTTACAATCTCTCATTTAATCTCTCATGGAGTGTAAAATTTTATAATACGATATGCAACTTTATCATCTTAATAGCAAAATACGTTAAACTTATACACTATATATATATATAGATGACTGTGATCTTCAACTAATAAAGTTATCATATTTGGACCATAAATCTTTTTAATGATTTTTAAATTTTTCTTAATTTTTTTTTTTTTTATGAATGGATGTATCCGAACTAACTTACGCACACTTCAACTAATCTCTCAGGACTCAAAATTGACAGTCGATTAAATCCTTTGTGATCATCCCTATTAACAATCTAGATAGATCAACCTTAAGAACTCTTAATATAATCTACGTTATAATTGACCGTTGGGTCTCTCGGTGATGGTTACATAGTATTTAACTCTATGTTTTACCAATTTTTGATTTACCTTAAAATATTGATGAATATGCAAAAATATAAATTGCATTTGGAGAAACTATATAGTATAGACGATTTTTGTATTTACTTTTATTATTAGTTTATTACATGTCTCGTAGATTTTCTGCCTCTTCCTACAAACAAAAAAGAAGAGGAACTAAGGGAAAAAAAAAAAAAAAAAAAAAAAAAAAAAAAAAAAAGACAAATGTACCATTATCCGATTATATTTTATATCCATTTTTTTATGCTCAAATTTAAAAAATATATATTTCCCACTTTTTTTCAGGGCTTCTCTTTTAACAGAGAAGCTAGTCCGGTCACCATCTTTGGTCTTCTCTCTACAGTCTTCGGTTTCACCGCCGGCGGCTGCCACGTCATCGTCACCTCATTTGATTTTTTTATTGGTGATTCTGACGGCGCCGTTTTCTCACCAAAAATCAGCTCCAGTTCTCCACAGCAATCATCGCTCTCTGCCGCAAACAAACATTCATCACTCTCCGTCTCGGTTTTGGTCAGTGAAACGGAGTCGTTGCGACACGAGGTTACGGTGAAGGGAGAGAGCCACTTGGCACGCATGTACTCCGCTTTCCTCCAAGGTGGAAAATGCATGCCTTTCTTCTTCAAGCTTTGCTTGGCCGCCTCCGACACGATTGACACAATCTGTCCAATCCTCTCCGGTTTGCCGACGAAAATGTACGGCAACGATTGCAGGATCGCCTTGTAAGAACCGGTCGATCTCGCAATTTCAAATTCCGATCTAAAGTCAATATCAACCAACAGCCTCTCACCATCTACAATCACATCGATATACTCGTATTCACCTGAATAACAAGCAGAAATTAATTTTTTTTTCATACAAAAAAATGGGTTTAGAAAATAAGAAATATCTAGAAGTTTGAGAGGGTACCAGCGGGGAATGAAGGACACTTGTCCCATTTCGATTTGCAGATTGAGCAATTATAGCCGAGAGATGATAATCCTTCGGTGACAATCTTTCTTAAATCGTCTTTCCTTTTGTGATTCTTGCTGTTTTTGTCGACAATTAACGCCGTGTCAGCCAATAGGTTTCTCTCCGCCACACTGGGGCAAGGTATCAAGCTCTGTATAATTCGAAATAAACAAAAACCAGCACGAGTTAGACCAAATAAGCTAGTTTCTTCTTCTTCTACTTCTTTTTATTTATTTTTAAATAGAAAAATGTAAGAAACTTTCTAAGGACTGATGTTTATTTTTTAGAAATGAAATAATTTCTGATAATTTGTTTTTTATTTTCTAATTACCTTTAGTATATCAGATGAGTCGCTGAACGATCCGCCGTTGAATGAATCGGAAAAGCCGTTGAAGACGTCGAATTCATCATCGGAACTGTCATTACCGTTTACGTGAAAGCAATTGCAGCGATTACGGCCACATTTTGCATTGGATTGTTTCTCGTTGGTTTCTTCGATGAAATTCTGAACCATTTTGGCCAAACAAAGTGAGCTAGGCTCGAACTCGGTTCCGTTGGCCGCGTCTTTAGTAAGTTGCGGTTCACCACCTACAGCAGCTGTAGAAGGCTGTCTCTCAGTAGATGAAATTCTCAAAACGCTTGGAAACTGGCGGTCGAACAGCCTCTTGAGCCGCGATTTCAGCACAGGTTTAGTTGACTCCGGTCTAATTATTGGTTCTTTGAGTGCATCAGAATCGATATCAATCGGTTGGATCTTCATCGGAAAAGGCATAACCAGGCTTAAATATAAAAGATTACGCTGTTCTATAGTGAGTACTCTTAACTAACTAGCTTCGCACAAAAGTCCACAGTGTTTTGTTGTTTATATATACACATTAACCCTCTACAATCTAGCTCCTCTACTCAGTACCAGAAACGACACAAAACTCTCAAAAATAAAAACCTCAAACTTAGCCGATTGTTTAAGTAAATCTACCGAAGAATCAGCAAAAGGCCAAAAACGAATACCTTTCAATGAGAAAGAAAGGAATAACTTGCAGACTATGTAGAACAAGCGTAAGGCTTTTCGTGGAAGACGTGGCGGCGATGATCGGAGATAAGGACATTGCGTGTAGATATAGAAGAGGATAATGTCACCGGAATATTCATTTCTCCGGTGATATTCTCGTCACCGGCGATTGTAACCAGAGGGGAGGAGAAGAATAGAGTTTTCTTGTTGGTTTGTTTTGTTGTTTTGGTTATTTTGGTGTGGAGTGGGTAATGGGTTAAGCTTTTATAGGGAAAGTCATCTTGCTGACTCGGATTTGTGGAGCCATGTAGAATCCTACGTGGTCATATTATCTTGAAGCTGCAGGTAACGACGTGGCAGTGTTTGTGGGCATTTGGTTTTGATTTGGGGCTTTGGATATAGAATTACACGATTAAACTTGCCACTGGTATTTGAGAGCGGTCCCTCAATTATGATGGTGGTGGTGGGCCAAATTTGAGAGTCGGGCCCAAGTGTCGGGGTGAGAAATGGATGAGAATACACAGTATCTCTCTCAGATGTGAATGTGATAATGCTATTTGAGCGTAACATCATGCGACACGTGGTCATTAGATCTTGTGTATAACCTTAGATCATGATTAGTGTTTACTTGGGACATTTGCAAATGTAAATTCCTGGACAGGCAAAAGCCCCCGTAATGGTCAATCTAAATTGAGTACCATGACAGATTTTATTTTATTTAAAATCTCTACAGTTCTAATATATTTATTTTACCATAATTTTATATAACAAGTCAAATTATGTAACTTATTGATATCTTTTATTATATAATTGACGCGTGGTTTTGAGACTAAGGTATTATTATTATTATTATTATTATTGAATTAATATCTGTCGCGTAACAAATCTCGCATGTAATATAATTTATCCATAACTTATTATTAGACAATAAAAATAACTGAAATATGTATATCATATTAATTATTAAATAGAGTTTATACGGAAAAGAAAGGTCATAATCGTAAAAGCAGGTGCCGATTTGATTTGACATATATAATATCGGCATATTGCGTGCAAGTTATTAAAACGTCTTGTGAAATTGGTTCTTAATTTTTGAGGTGGAAGTTTTACTTTATTTTATATAATATTGATTATTAATTGGAATATTGGATTGGACAGAAGCGTTTATGATAATGATGGGGAAAGTATATATTGAAATAAAAAAGAAAGAGAATTATTAACCATAGAAAAAATCAAATAATATGTTGCCACATCACGAGTAAATGATAATAATAATAATAATTAAAAATAACCAATTAATTGTATTAGAAATGTCCGTGGTTGCATCATGAGACTGACTAATTCTAATTGATTTTAGAAATAATTAAATGTATGTATGTAGTACAAAATACTGACTTCTAATTTATGATTAATATTTACTACCAATAATAAGTTGACTCGTACAATTGTAATTATAAAGCGCTCACTATGGGGAGCACAATGTGATTACGTTGTTGTTCACGAATTTAAATCTCGTAACGTTTTACACATCTTTTTTAATTATAAACATAATAATGCTCTACGTATTATTTTTCTACTGCACATTATATCAAACGCTGGCTTAAATCCTATTAACTTAACTTAACATGATATCTTGTATGGTTAAGAGACAAGAACCTTGATCGCTTATATAATACAAGGACATCATCATCATCCAAAGAAATTTTTTCAGGATAAAATTATGCGAGTTTTAAAATCTAAAACAGACAATACATCTAAGAATTGACCTATTATATATATGGATTCGACATACATTAACAAAAAATCTATAACTCAGTATTTTATACATCCTCATCTTAGTAAATAAATTTAATTATCAAACTCCTCAAAGCATTTTTGACCTTTTATTTGTTTTGAATTTATTTAAGAAGATAATACAAAATTGAACTTATTTTGGTAATTTATAAGCTTAATATTAAGTTTGTCTTTAAACTATTTTACGTATCAATCTTTGGTTTAACAGAATGTTGAAATTGTACTGTCAGAAAAGTGAGTGGTCAAATTAGTGAATCGAAATCATGATGGAGATGGTCAATCCTTAATTTTGACAACAACTTTTCACCTTGTACCTTATTTATAAACAAAACAAACTAGGGTGGTTTGGTTTGTTATTTTGGATAGTTGAATAGGGTGATTATTANTTTTTTTTTTTTTTTAAATGATCACGGCGTCTGGTTCAGTTTACACATAAGTTTAATTAATCTTTGGAACCTATTAAATACTCTACAAGTTTAATGTTCTAAGAAAAGTCATAAATATGATAGATGACCCCAATGTTATATGAACCCAGAAAGTCAATGAAGAAAACAAACTTTTTTGACCATCAGGCTAACCCTTAGGGGTTAATATCTCTTTTCATATGCATCATAGTAGAAACATCGGCTTCATTTGGTTGCATTTTGGGAATACTAAAAGTAGTATTCCCAAAAAAGTTAAACAGTAAACTACCAAAAAACTCACAATGATATTCAACTTTTTTTAAATCCCCTAAATTTGTTAATTTAATTAAATACCTCTAAATATTTTTTAAAAAATTGCAAAAACACCCCAACAATCCACATTTACCAGATTCTGGCCACCACTGCCGGAAAATGGCCGGAATCTAGTAGGATGGTGCACTACCGGCTGAATCTTACCGGTAGTGCGCCGATCTAGCCTTTTTCAGCCAGATCCACGGTAGATCTAGCCGAAAAATGCCAAATCTAAGGCCAAAGATCTGGCCGTTGATGGCCAGATCTTTGGTCGTAACCAATTGGTAACGACGGCCAACAAACGGTTGTCGTTGACCATCAACGACGACCGTTTGTTAGTCGTCGTTGAATAGCAAATACGGCCAGATCTGGCCATCAATGGCCAGATCTGGCCGTAGATCTGGCTTTTACCGGCCATATCGGTGCACGACCGGCAAGATCCAGTCGATCATACGCCGATACGGCGACTCCGACCACCCTCCGGTGGTGGTGGCCGACTGTCTATATTTGAGGGTGGGTTGGGGGTGTTTTTGTTAACTTTTAATGTTTTATTATAGGGGGTATTTTGTAACAAAATAAACATAGGAGGTATTTTACTAATTTATAAATCCTACATTGTAATACCCACCCAATTCAATTTTTTTTTAACTTTTTTCAAAAACACAAAATTGTGAACCAAAGTAAGCCATCATTTTCTTTAAACTTAAACAAAATAATCCAACATCATATCAAAAGTGAGAGTTAGGATCGCATTTTTGAAACCACTAGGTGCTTATTACAAGAAAAAGGCGACACACAGGATTAGGGTCGCATTTCTGAACCCAGCGTGTATTACAAAAAGCCATACTTGTGAATAGAGTAAGGGGTAATTACCAAGCCAAGAATCTACTTTTTGGAAAGATGAATGGGGCCTAATCTCCATTATCAAAAATAGTTTCTACCTTTATTATGCTTTAAATGATGAAAGCCAAATATTAACTAATACTTAAAACATAATCATGTTTAATCTATTACAAAATTTGTCAATAATCTATTGGGTGGCTTTGTTTTTCTTTTCTTTTTGTCGTTGCAACTTTTCTAAACTTCTTTTGATAATGTCTAGTGAAATCATTGGATCTTTTTTTTTTTTTTTTATCTTTTTATAATAAAATATGAAGATCTTAGGATCCAAAACAGACAATCTCTAAGAATTGACCTATTATATGTCTGGATTCGACATATATCAACAAAAAATCTATAACCATATTTTATACATCCTCATCTTAGTAATAAATTTAATTATCGAACTCTTCAAAGCATTTTTGTCTTTTATTTGTTTTGAATTTATTTAAGAAGATAATACAAAATTGAACTTATTTTGGTAATTTAAGCTTAATATTAAGTTTGCTTTAAACTATTTTAGGTATAAATCTTGGTTTAACAGAATGTTGAAATTGTATTGTCAGAAAGTGAGTGGTCAAATTATTGAATCGAATCATAATGGATATGGTCAATTCTTAATTTTGACAACAACTCTCACCTCGTAGGTGTACCTATTTAAAACAAAACAAACTAATTAATTTAATTCCATTATTAATTAATAATTAAAGGTTATTAGTACAAATTTTGGCTGTGTTTTACTCCAAAAAAATAATTAAATGCTTTTCTCCCAAAATCTAAAAATGTTTGTTGAAAATTGCACTTGCACTCAATAAACGTTTAAGCTTCATGGTGGAACGGTTTGGTTTGGTCAACATTTTGACTAGTTGAACATAGTCCAAATTAAAGACATGAAATAATAGTGGATAAAAGCTGGAAGGAAAGTATGGGGCTAACATAAATACAGTTTGATTACATTTTACACACAATAATATAAACTTTATTCGTATCATATAATAAAAAGTAAAAACGACAGTCAACGGTTGAAAACTATTGGACCGCTGCATTAAAATATGCCACAAAACAAACAATGATAAAATGGAAAAAATGGGCCCGCTCTATGACCATTATGGGTTAAGTTAAAGTTAATTTTTTTTTTACAGTGGGCATGAGTCTTGATTTGTACACTTGTCTAGTCATTGCCACTATAATTCGTATCATGTAATAAAAAGGACAAAGAATAAATTATTTAGTATGGATTGCCGGTAAATTAAGAGACTATTAATTGAAGGGGTAAACTCAATCACATTCACAACTTAATACACGAATATAAATTTTTATATTTTTATTTAAATAAGGTTATTTTTTATCATCATGATATTCTAATTAATTTGTAAGTACCTCAACTAATCTTTGAAATCTAGAATTATCGACCAAGTAAAACTATTAGTGTCTGGAAAACTCAAATTCAAAAACTTAAAAATCTCATTTTGTTCTTTTACTATCAGATCACTTAATAGTGATGGATGTAGTAATGTATGCATTTAGTGATGGAATTGAAAAAATTAAGAGGAGTGTGAATTGGGTATGGAGTCGGATATGGCGAGTGCAGGAGGAGTAAGATAACATAATAATAATGTTGAAATTTAATTTGACTCAACATGTTTTTATGACTCATAATTATAATGCCACTATTTTTAGTTGAACGAAAATGACATCTCCCTCAATAAATATTTCATTTCCAAATATGGATAACTTCTGCACCATACATAATAGAAAAATGTAAGAAACTTTCTAAGGAC